ATACAGAATTTAAATAGTGATTACTTATGACAAAAACAGGTTACTATGAGAAAATACAACAGGGGAATCTCAATCTACTCTGGACAATCAGGGATAGTTCTTTGAGGAAGTTGCCTCTGCACTGAGATTTAAGAGAGAACGGAATGGGCAAAGAGTGGGAGGTATTCCAAGTAGCAATAACAAACTGCACAAGTCCTATAGCAGGAAAAAAAAAAAAAAAAATGTAATAAAAGGTCAAGAAACTAAAAAGTCAGTAAGGCAAGAGGCAAGTAACCAAGGAGGAAAGAAGGCATCAGAATGGAGAGGTAGGCTGGAACCATATCACGCAGGGCCTCACAGGCCATGTTAGTCTAAGATCAATGGGGAGCCATTAGTTTTACCTAGTGGGTAGCATGATCTGATTAACATTTTTCAGAGATTATTCTAGGAATGAATGGGGGTGGGGGGGGTACAGAAAAGTGGAGAGACTGACCAGTAGACTACTATAGTTTCAAGGCCTTTTAATTAATCTATTAATACTCCACTGCAGCAATTTTTGGTCTCAGGACACCAGTCATTTATAAATTTGAAATCCCATAGAGTTTTTTATGTAGGTTATAGCTACTGATATAGCTACATTAGAAATTAAAACTAAGCAATCTTCTAAAATATTCATTTTAAAATAACTCATATAAAAGACATTCTTACGAAAAATAACTATATTTTTCTCAATGTGAAGAGCAATGTTTAAATTTTTCCAAATCATTTGAATTTTCACACCTGTTGTGATATCCTACATCTTACAGCTTCTGGAAAAGTATGTTGTACATTTCTGAGAATTAGATTAAAAAACACAAATAGCTCAGAATTATTGTGAAAATAGTTTTGATCTCATGGCCCTCCTAAAAGGGTCTTAAGCACCCCAAACCACAGTGAGAACTGCTGCCTGAGTAACAGAAAGCCAAGCAATCACAATGAGATATCACTTCACAGCAACTAGGAAGGATATAACCAAAGACAGACAATAACAAGTGTTGTGGACAATATGGAGTAAGTGGAATCCTCATGCACTGCTGGTGGGAATAGAAAATGGTACATTGCTTTAGAAAATAGTTTGGCAATTCCTCAAAACATAGAGCTACCACATGACCCAGTAATTCTAGTCATAGGTATACAAATTTTGAAAACATACATCCCCACAAAAACTTGTATGAGTATTCAGAGGCATTATTCGTAATCGTCAAAAAGTAGAAACCGCCCAAATGTCCATCAAACGATGGAGAAAAAAAATGTGATATATGTCCATACAATGGAATATTATCCAGCAATAAAAAGTACTGCTACAGGCCACAGCATGGATAAACCTTGAAAACATTATGCTAAGTGAAAGAAACCGGTCACAAGTTTTCAAAATCTGGTGTGTATTTTACACTTATAGCACATTTCAAATTATTCCAATCACATTGTAAGTGCTCAATAGTCAGATGTGGCTGCTGGTACCAAAGTGGACAAAGCAGTCCTAGATCCACACTACAATGTCAAATGATGCTTGTGATAATGACCCTGAGGCACTGCAATTTCCCCTATCAAGAAAGGCTCAATTCTAGTCTATACAATATTTATGTTATATTAGGTACATTAACTTTTCTATAAGTTTCAAGTGGAGAAGATGTTTTCTAAAACTAAAATACATGTTGCCTGAGTATTTGAGCTAACTATAGTTCAAAATTTTATACTATAATCTAGAGGACTACAAAATCCAAGAAAAAGCTTGTCGGAAGCTATATGGGAGCTCCCTTTCGTTCTCTGCACTAATTTTAATCTAACTCACACGCACAAACACACACACCATTCTTTTGGATTTCATCTTGCTTACTGACACTTAGAAATCCTCATTATCCAATAATAGATAATGAATAAATAAAACACAATCTCATACACAGGGACTTTGTACCACTATGCATTTTTCTACTCTATTTATGTTATGAAAATCCCTACTAATGAAACCACCTTGGGTCATACGTGAAGTTTATATTCTAACCACCCTTACAGAGAAATTTAAACATTACTGATCTTGAGTGCTCCATGAAAAATAAATTTCACTTTAATTTCATAAAAGCAAACTTTATTAGCAATCTTGAACAAGTAACATTTGTTAAACAATTGTATTAAGGTACCCACCCTGTTTATGCCTGTTAGTTAGTTACATACTCAAACAGAAACAGAGGGGGGAAGGAAATTATCATCTTACAACTTACTTTACAACTGACCCAAGAGGTTTTAAACACAATTTCATCCAATCAGAACATATTCATATAACTATTTCAGTAAAATGTATTAAAAGAAATTATATTACATAGGAACACTTATTGAAAGATATTTTAAATTATAGAAAATCAGATCTGCCTGATAGAAAATCTAAGCCTTCAATATTATTCGTTTTGTATGTCTCTTGCTTTTCCTCTTTACTTCCAACATTATATAAGAATTTTCAGGACCAAATACTTCCCAATTTTTTACTAAACATTTTTAGGGGGCTCTCAACATCATTAAGTGTTTTAACAACAAATTTGAATCTTCAAATTAATTTAAATCTATCAAATCACTTAAGTAGATTATTACTAGAAAATGACAGATTGTTTTTCTTGTGCTTCAAGTAGAATTTTATGAATCATCTAAAATCTGCTTTTTTATGCTTGCATATTTTCCTGTATGTGCATCCCTTAACAGAGCCCATAGATATTTCAACTTGTCTTCAGGTTCTCAGGGCAGTGGTGAGCTACAATTTTTATATTTTCTGCTTCAACAGAAAACTCCCATAGAATTTTCAAATTCTAATCTTACCATCACAAAAAGTTGAAAAAAAATTTCTAGTATAATATCATAAAATTGATCCAAATGAAAATTTTTATTTATAAAATATTGAATCTTTAATCTTTTACAGTAAAATGATCATGACAATCAAAACGGTGGAGATCTGAACTAGGACTCCTAGAAAGAAGACCTAAAGGCTTCAAAAGTTAGTATGTCTACACACTCACTAGCATAGCTAAAACAAAAAAGAATGACACTATCAAATGTTGGCAGGAATGTAGAGCAACAGGAACTCCCATGCACTGTAGGGTGGGATTATAAAATAATGCAAACATAGTTTCTCGTAAAACATACAGCTACCATATGATCCAGTCATTCCACTTCTAAGTATTTAACATGAGAAATACTTTTGCCAAAAAAAAAAAAGACGACTTGTACAAGAATTTTCATAGCAACTAACTGGAAACTGTGCAGGTGACCTCAACAGAAAAATGAATAAATTATGGTATATTCATACAATGGAAAACAACACAGCAATAAAAAAGAAACTACTGATACACACAAGAATAAATCTCAAAAACATTATGCTAAGTGAAAAAAAGCCTTACATACTATATAATCCCACTTATGTGACCTTCTAGAGTAGGCAAAACCAAACCATGGTGAAAAAAATCCTAACAGTGGTTGACGGAGGGGAGTGACTGAACTGACTTGGTAACAGGTAACTTTCTAGTTAATAAAGTTCTACACGGGAGTTTTGTGGAAATTCAAAGAATGGCAACCATGTACATTTTTCATTGCATGTCAAACTTATCTAAAAAGAAAAAAGTTAAAAAAAATGAACTCAGGTTAATGATATGCAAATGACTTAAGTGCCTTTTAAGGGTAACATGAACTAATATTTGCAACTTTGAAATCTAAAAAATATAATGGACTAATAAATGATAGTGTGAGAGCAAATATAGCAAAATGCTAATTTTACGTAATGACACATGGGTGTTCACTGTCTAATTCTTTCAACTTTCCTGTACGTTGTAAAATGTAAAAATGTTAAGAATTTTCCTAGGAAAATTGAGACAAAAAAGTAAGTTGATTTAGTACGTAGTAAAGTTTCTCTTACTTGATGCTACAAGCTCTACTTAATGGTTCACAAAACACGCCACCTTTTGGAACTATATAAACCAATACCCCAATCATTTACTATCCATGGGGAAACACAGGTACGTTTCAGGGTTTGTTGTTTCCTCATAAACTCTTCATATTGTTTGAGATCGTCAGAAATCCATTCGGTAATTATGGAAAAGTCTGGGACGTATTCAACAATAGACTAAAACGATTTAATTCTTCAAGGTTTCTAATTAACTGTAAAATGTGTGTTCCTTAACAAATTTTAGATTATAAATTATTTGGTACATTCTCCATTAACTCCAGATTTGTTCTTTTACTCGAATGCAACCGCTAGTATCTGAATAAGGCAGCTAACGTCCCTTTGAAATCAAACAAAAACCTACCCAAACGACTGGCATCTAAGAGATGATAGACCAAAAAGAGCAAGTTATCAATGAAAGTCATCCACATTTTCCCGTAAGCCCAATACTATTACCTAAGATGTGGCTAAAAGCAATTTCTACGTCATAGTTAATCTTTAAAAAAATAAATTTTAAGCATGGTAAGTATTTCAGCAGTCAACACACACGTGCTCTTCACCGCAAAATCTACCTTAACCCGCAGGCAGGCAAAACAATGAGCACCCTCCGCCCCCACCCCCACCCATTTTTTATTCAGGAGACAAAACCACAGACTAGGCTAAAGCGAACCCTCGTCCCAGCCCAGCCTCCACCCCGCCCAGAGCCAAGCGGAGGGTCCCAGTCCTTTGTGCGGAGCAGCAGGGAGGCGGCTGGGGGCGGGGAGCTGGGAAAGGAGGCTGAGGGTCCGTGAACGCCAGAGCAAGGAGGCGGCGCGGAGGGAAGCGGCGTCGGCGCGTCCCACAAACAGGCCGCGCGGCCCCGCCACAAACCTCTGCGGTATCCCAAGGAGCAAACCCACGAACTTGGGTGTGATCTAATTTGGGATGAGCCTCGAGAGAATGGCCGAGAGCAACTCCGGGGACGATCCCCTCCCAGGCCCTTGCAAAGCCGTCTCCTCCCGCTGCGGACAGAGGTCCTGCCGCCACCCCCACCCGGGCCTGAGCGCAGGGCGGCCCTCACCTGCTGGACGGAGCTATTCTCGGGCACGGCGAACTCCTCCTTCTCTTTTGGGGTCTTCACGGTGACTTTCATGATCTTAGGCTCCGCGGAGGCAGCGGCCGCGGGGGCGCCGGCACCTTCGGTTGTGGCGGTGCTGTCCTGGGAGCTCGGAGGGCCACCGCTTTCACCACTATCGGCCATGGCGGCGGCGGTGACTCAGTAGCGAGCAGACGAGCGAGACGGAGCCAGGAGACGCCACAGCCCGCTGGCCCGGGCAATAGAGAATGCAGGACGCGCCGCCTCAGTGGTAACGGGCGCAGAGCCGCCCTGGCGGGCGAGGGGCTGCGGAGCTGAGCGTGGGCTCCGGCGCAGGCCCGGGTCGGGCGCTCGGCAGCCACCGTGTGTTCAGACGCCGCTGGGTCGCAGCGACATCCGCAGCCGCCGCCGCTTCCTCCTCCCCACCCCTCCCCCCACGTCCCTCCGCCGGCGCCGCGCGGGGCACGCCGGGTAACGCGGCTGGCGGCGTCGCCGAGTCATGCCCGGCGGGCGCCGCTTCCAGCTCTGGGTGCTTTGTTCCCCCTCTTCTGTTCCATGGCTCAAAGTGTAGGCGCAGCCGGAGTGAAGGACTAAAAACAGAGTGGGGCGGGAGAGATCAATTCATTTTCCACTCCTTACACCAAAAGGATTCGCGCGTTCCGGGAGGCACTGTCACGGCGCACGGGGATGACGTTACGGTTAGAGAAATTACTAGAAGGGAGGGCTCGACCAGTGCGCCCCGCGGCCGCGCCTGCGCGCTGGTAGTCCATGTAGTTTTCCCCACCCCTTTACGTCATACACCGCGCCGCCGCGCTCGCCTGGCCTGGCCGCCTTTGAGATAACCCACCGGGGCGGTCGTATGTAATAAATGCTTGAGAAGTGTTTTGTTATTTTAATCTGCTTAATTTTTGTCTACGTGGAAGATTTCAAATGCTCGATCTTGCTGCCCTGTGCGTGGGAGTTGGAAGCTAAGTTTCTGGAGGAAAGATTAGCATAAGGAAAGGAAAATGAAGACGTCTGTAACCATCCTTTGCAATCCTGCGAAGTCATTGCTCGATGGCCAGGGCTTCCGGCCCTCGGCCCTGGGCCCTCGGGTCATCCCGGTGTGCTCAGTGATCAAGCCACCTCTGGTGACTGTTGCGTCCGCTCCCGCTATGACAGCCCTGTGCGAGCAGTCCCCGAATTTTCTGTAAACACTGTCCCCCAAAATGTCTGGGGCAGAAACAGTACCCACCCAACTGGACAGTTTAATGTAGCTGAGGTGTTCCATTTTCTATTCTACCAAATTAAGTTACTGCTCTTTCAGAATTTAGGTAGCATTAAAGGTAATTATTCAAAAATTATTTTCAATGTAATATAGGTATAAAAAAGAGACGAAGTTATTTTCCCCTTGAGAATTCTAAATTTAAAATGACCTGATTGTTAGCCTTTAAAGATGACTTTCAAGGAATGTACAACCCAAGACATTAACTTTAGTAATCAGTGTTACACAAACGTAAACCCTGACAGCCCACTGTGATCCGAATATTCAAAGATACACTTTTTTTTTTTTTTAAACTATCCAAATCTTCTGAGAAAAATACTGTTGTATGAAGACTGCTTTTGAGTAGTCCCTTTGGAATCTGGGCCTAAGAGAAGTTATGAAAGTACAAATAGCAATATAGTCATCAGATATTAACTAAATTTATGGCAGCATTGCCCAATAACAAAAAAATTACACAAGGCTGTCTGCTGAAGGATAACTACTTATGTCTAGATGTGAGGTAATCATTACTTCTCAAAGTAGAAACTTACACCATTGGACAACCAGTCATTTATCTCTAACTCTATACTTAATGACATTGCTCTAATTATGTCTACATTAATTTCCAAATTCTGAAGCATATGCACAATTTATGAACTAATATAATTTATCTGTAAGAATAAACATTGTTATTCGTTATGGTATTATTTAAAAATAATCCTACTTTTTAAGGAACCTTTGGAGATGAGGGTCCAGATCAGAGATCAAACTTTCAGGGTAGACTAGATAGTACATATGTTCAACTTTGTAGACCATATATTCTCTGTAAACTTTCTGTATTTCCATATAGTTTTATTGCTTTTTTGGTGTCGCTTATCACATTGTACCTTGTATTACACTTTATTGTATGCTTATCTCCTTTATTAGACGGGTCCTTGAAAACAGGGATCAAGTATTAATCACAGTGCCCAAGCTAATTTCTTGGCATGAGAGCATTTATTGTTGAACTGAGTTGATGAACTGTCATGTTTTCACTAGAGAGGAAATTTATTTAGAACAGTAGATAATATTTTATGCTGCTATACCTTGAAACGTAACTTGCTTTGCAAAAGGTTCACAGGAAGGAAACGTTCACTCCCTACTTATGTGAAACTCCAACTCTAATGATTCTTTTCAGAGGACAAATTTATTCAACACACATGTATTTGGAATGTTTCCTGGCCTTAGGCATTTATCTTATGTGAAGAGCCTGCCATCATGTTGTGTAAAATAAGCAAATGAGCCATGGGGAAATTTTATTTGAGAGCAGTAGCTTAAAGTGCAAAATCTATTGTTCGAAGCTAATTAGGAATTCCAGAGCATAATGCTTATAGGAAAATAATTCTTTAGGATGTTGGGAGTTTTGTAGCACTTAAGAAGGCAAACCTATTGAAATATTTTACATAGGAAGCTGAGAGGTGTTTTTTAAAGTATAGACTTATAATCATTCCATTTCATCCAAATAAGTCTTATAATCTTGGTTTCCAAATGAGTTGAAAGGTGAAGACAGAATGACACTGTGTTATAATTGAATTGTTCTATAATCTATCCAGAATTGGGAAAGGTCTGAGATTTCCCCCTACTTACAAGCTAAGTTTCATGAATGCTGGCAGAAAACAAAACTCTTAGGTCAGAAACAAAGGACTTTGTTACAGCAATAGCAATAGCCAGAGTATCAGCATTTTCTTGCACCAGTTCCCCAACCCCTAACTTCTCCAGAATGATGCAAAGAGGGCCATGTGACATCTGCAGAAGCAGTGGGTTGCATTATAATAGAGGAACCCCAAGCATAAGGATCCCAGATCTTATAATTGGGCAGTAATCCTGTAGCCCCTTGCTCAGGAGAGAGATCTTCAAGGACTGTTCGCTATCCAAATATCCTTGAAAACAATAGTTCAGAACAAAGGCAGTATATTAGTTTCCTATTGGTGCTGTAACAAATAACCACAAATTTAATGGCTTAAAACAACACAGATTTATTATCTTAAAATTCTGGAGGTCAGAAGTCCAAAATGTGTCTTAAAGGGCTAAAATCAAAGGCTGTGTTCCTTTTGGAGGTTCTGGGGGAGAATCCTCCTTGCTTTTTCCAGCATGTGGACACTGCCCACATTCCTTGGCTTGTGGCCAAATCACTCCGACTTCTGGCTTTTATTGTCAATATCTGACTCTTCTGCTCCCTCTTTCACTTATAAGGACCCTTGTGATGACATTGGGCCCTCCCAAATAATCCAGGATAATCTCATCATCTCAGGATCCTTAATCACATCTGCAGACTCCATTCCACATATAAGGTGATAGATTCGCAGGTCCTAAGGATTAGGATCTTTGGGGAGCCATTATTCTGCCCACCAGAGGTGGTCAGTGCCTGTAGTCACAAGATGTACAGAATATGAGAGACCCATGAGGAATTATCTCCTGATAATATCCACCCCTTGTTTCTATACTTCGTTGGCTTCTGGCAAACTTTTCCATGAGGACGCCACTCTGTTGGTCATTCTGATTAATCTGGCCACCGGAGGCTAAGACCAAATACATCCAGTTTGTCTCATAGAGTATTTAATAAGGCTGCTATCAACAGTGTTCTAAGTAGCAGGATGAGGCCAACCTTCAGTATTAATTACCATGTACCCTAGGGGTTCAGACCCAGTCAGCTGAACAAATCCCTTAAACCATCAGGGGCTGCTTTGGCTGCTTCCTAGGTATTGTTTTTGTATTGACTTTTCCCTTTGGCCCAAGGCATTAATCTAGATACAGCAAGATGTTTTAGCAATTGCAAATACTTTGCAATGGCCTGCAAGGAGGAAATCTAGGGCAATTGTATCAATCATAACAACAGTGAGCAGTGAGTTGATGCTGACTTGAATGCCTTCCAGGACCAATGTGATGTCATTGATCTCTTCGGCTTCGCTCAGGACAAATTTTGTTCCTTTTCTAATTAGATAGTTCTAGTTGTAGGAATAACAGCCTCCAGGTTGCATACAAATTGCAAGAAAGTTATTCTTCTGAAAAACTCCTCCAAGAAATCAAGGGCAACCTCATTTTGTATAGTTCTCCTTGTTACCTGAGTGCTCTGTGACTACTGGCAGTGTTTCCTTAAACACTTGAAGACATCTTATGACCACCCCTAAAGTGCAAGCCATTATTTTTTCAAGAGGGGACAAATGGCTAACAGCCACATAAAAAGTACAGTCCTTGGGGCACCATGGTGCACCTGGAAAGCAAATGTTGTTTATAATTTCTGGAGTCCCTCCAAATGTGATGTACATCAGTCAAGGGCATAAGTTGACAGTGCCTCCATTGTGGCCTTGCAGCTGGTTGGTAGGGCTTAGAGTTCCTAGTTCAGTTTGAATAATTGATTCTAGTCTTTGTTTATGGAGGGACCGCCTATGGGCAGTTAGTCCAAACTGTGCTGTTTGTCCAGGCCACCAGCCAAGTGGCATTTATCCACACCATATAATGACTAGTGAAGGCTACAGGAATAGGAGTGGGAAACATATCTGCAGGTGTTGAAAGATGTTTTGCATGGGAAGTGCAAGAGCTGGGACATGCCCTGCCGTTTTCAACTGGCTTCTTATTAAACTTGTGGAGAATGGTAATCAACTGTGGTCAGGTACAGCAGACCCAGAAGTTAGTTGAATTTAGTGTTTGCTAGTTCAGGAGAAGCTCACCTGGGTGTTTTCCTTTGTGAGGAAAGGTCCAGGGATAGTTCTGGAAGACAGAAAACCGTTGATGTCTCTCCCTCTCCCATGCCTCCCAAGGTCCATGTTCCTTCCCCTAGTGCCAGCCTGTTTACCCTCTATCACCAAAAAACCAGTAGCTGTAACTTCACCTTTTTCCATTCATCCCTGACTCACACCCACACCTTTTGTCCAGAAGGGTAAGGCACAAAAGAAATAAGGTAATTTTTCTAAAACTTATGGAGGCCCATTATGTCCCCTATGTATATCCCCATAGGCCATTATAGGGGACTCAGGGAGCAAGGTATTCAACCATGTAGTCATTATCCTTACACAATAGGACCATGTCAGTCCAACAAGAAAATCCAAGCAGCTAAACCAGAATTAAGTTTAAATCTCTTAGATTCTCTTTTGGCTAGCCTGCCACCAAGAGGTATACCTACCAGGCCAAGCAATGATTATCATTAGGGGGAAAAAAGAAGCATCATGCCCAGGATAGAATTCTGGATTTTCAATACAGTTTAAAAAAACAAACAAACAAAAACCTACCCTACTTTTTTTGTCCTTATCATTACCTAGGAAGTGGCCAAGAAGAGATGATCTCTTTCTGGAGCCAGCCACATTCAGTGACCAAAATACCTAGTATTAAAGTGTATGAACTAGGAACAAGTGAGGGATACATAGTACAAGAACTTTTTGATTGATTTTTGAGATGATTGTGAATAGCAGAGAACACGAAAAGTCCATTG